TATCCAGCCTACTTGAAAGTCAATATCTAGAGTACTGCTTCTCGCCGCTATATGTAGATAATGTAGAGGAGATTTAGAGCAGCAGAACTCCAGTCAGAAGCTCTGAGACCGAAATATAAGTAAGATAAGAGACACTTCAAGAAAATCTCAACATCCAGCCTAGTTGAAAGTCAAAACCAGTCGTCGTACTGCGACGAATTTGATGGAGAACATGCTTCTCCGCGGATATTTGAACTGGGCGCCCGCCAAACGCGTGTCCATCCAAAGACGCCGTAAATGAAGCGCTGTGAAGTTGAAGAAGTGGGTCAGCACACTGTGTCGATACCGCACCAAGACAATCGATAGACTCAGGCCCGGTACTGTCTTATTAATCATCACTATACCCTCCAATGACGTCAGAGCGCGGCGTTTTGGTAATGATTTTTTGGTTATGATCATTTGGAGGCAGAGTTATGACACAAGGCGGACTGACTGATGGGAAGTCTTATTGACGATTTGACAATGTGAGGTGCAAGTGTTGAATAGATGGTGTGTAAATATAGCGTCCGGCTTAGGTGTGGTGTTATCTGGTCTTATAGCTTATAATCTTCCACGTTTGTATCGAGAAGTAAAGACGTTAAATCAATGCCCATTGTAGCATAACTGAAGGTGGCAAGCGTACCGATTTCTAGGTTCCAAATCCCTCTGGGATATGCTGGGGGCTCTCAATAAGATGATCTAGAATTTCTGGGAATATTGGACAATAAAGGCCTTTGTTCGAAACCGATAACAAATATCCGATTTAGAACCGATCGCTCTCATTCTTTATATGCACAGGAAAACGTTTATAGATATGTATATGTATGGACATTGTATGTTCCAATCCACGTTTTTCACGTACGCCTTGCCTTGTTAAATGCTGTTGATGTTATTGACTCCCGATGTTGTATGTAATAACAGTTTTGTAGTGTTGAAGGTTATGTGGTGCCAGGTCACTAAAACATCATTGTCTGACATTGGCGGTGCATTATCTTAAAAGACGTACATAACCTACGTCTGTATAGTCCGCTATGATCTCCAAGTGTCAATTTCTCAATTTTGTGATTCACTTGTAAAGACTACAGTTCCCTCAGAACACGAACTTTGCACAGGAAAACGACGGTAAAAACTAGGGAAAGTCACAGGGCTGATAGTTCACTAAATAATCAACGATCATAGGTTATTATGTAGAACCTATTAGTGTCATAGCAGTCACCTTCAATACCTTAAACCATGGGTGCTAGGACCTCAGTAGATATTTGAATTACGCCAGCGGCGTCCCTCTCCCACCTATACAGAGCTTTTCATATAGACAAAGAAGCATGGGAATACTAGTAAATGTCTATATGGTATTTTTTATTGATCGTACACTCAAACAGAATACAGGACCTAGTGTTGGCGCACTCAAGTTAGGAAATTATTTTGGCACCACCACTAAATAGATAAATGCACACAATAAAGAAAATAAACATATACTTCAAAATATGTACAAAATTGAATAATTGAATTAAGCGCAGATATGCTGTTTATGATAGTGTATATCTTTATCAGAACTGATTCTTTTTCTCGTGCAATGGTATGGTCTTCCCGCTTCTTTGTAGTTCTTGGGCTCTTCTGTTGGTTTATGTAAAATTTGTGTTTGGATTTCGTCATAAAACATGTAGGTGTTTAAGTAATGTGTTCTGTCTATTCCCCTCCCTCACCATAATAGTTACAGAAGTAGAAAGGCTGTCCTTACTGTGAGGAATGTGTTTTATCGGCTGTCATTTTGCGGGTTCATTCTCTGGGCGATCTTTTACGTATGAGAAATGGTTTTAACTGTGGAATAGTTTCCCCTCTCATTGTTTACATTGATTTTAATATCTAAAATGCATGGTGGCCGGCCCGCTGGTCGTCTGTCATCATCAGTCAACTTGTGCTGGGGGAGAAAGAGGCCACTGTGAAGTTAGAGGGGCCTGCTAGAGGAAAGGGAGTGTGTTTTGGTGTTTTTGGTTCTTTTAGGGTTTTGGTTTGTGGACTGGCGAATTATAGGTAGTTTCTTCCGCGGTTTTGCAATTGAATTTACTTAGTATATACATGTGGATAGTTTGTATGGTGTTGCAGTTAAGTTTTGATACCAGTGGTATTACTTTAACACACATTTGTAAATGTTCAATGTAGGTAGTTAGGGGAAGGTCTTATAACAAAGCTACTCGTTACTGAACAGACTCGCCAGCTATGTTGTATTGAGGTCAAGGCAAAGGGGAAGCACAAAAAACGTAGACTGCCACAGGACTATAGTATACCCGGGTACCTCCGGTAAATATACGCACTGTTATAATATAGTTCATACTTCGACAAGTCTAGTCTAAATACCTGGTGAAAAAACACATGCACCAACGTTTAGCCTTAAGTTCTGTTCGGACAAACATCTCATATTAACATCTTTTGATATATACATACATGGCCACAAATGTCGATCACGTTTAAAGAACAAAAGTCAACACGGTGTATTTACATTAACCTCTTAAGGACGACAGAAGCTGAAGTGGCGTAAATGGTTTTCCTCATCTATTTCTGCTGACGACACATTCATTTGCTGCGCCCCATTATGAGATGCATCATTAAGAAAACCGGTCAAACTAATTAGTGCATGATTATCGAAAATCTCCGCTAATACATTGAGGATTACTCTATTTGGGAAACCACACCTGGGTATCTGCGAAATTAGGTCAAAGGGACAGTTCTGTGAGTAGCGCCACCAAACGACTTTGTTCGGAACTGCAGCTTGTGTTGTTGCAATTTGTTCGAGGGCAACGACCTCTTCCAAATAAGCGATGTAATAGGCACACGCGAATTGATTTATCTTTCTCGGATGCCATCACTTCTTAGAGAGATGTTAAAAAGTAGAACCTGTTCCTTTCGTCAGTGGTTAAAGAAATATTCAGCAGCGTTTGGATACCATAATACCGCTAAAATTAAAACCCTGAGACGAGTCAGGTCATCAGCACGGCAAATGTTACAATCATTACTATAACCACATTTACATGCAAGATTAATAAGGTACTATCGATTTAAGCTTATACTCAACACCTGAGCCCTCGTTGCAACCATCATCATCATATAATATAAAAGAAATATCACCACAAACAATGAAGGGATTCAGAAGAAGAGATACATATTTCAAGTATCTTCGTGGAACTTTTTTTTTCTTCGTGGAACTTAAAGATGGCATGAATGAAGACAATGAACTACAGCAGTTCCTGAAAATAGCAAAACGTGATAGGCATTATTCAACGATAACGATATCTAACAGTCCTAAGCTCATGAGCTTAAGACTATGCGTGTTGTCGCTAGAATTGAAATAGATCGCCAATGCTTAACCAAACATAGCCACACAGGAAGCGGTACACTCAGAGCTTGTAAAACCTGACCTATCAGTTCCTCTGGGCTATCTTTCACGTAGTACATGTTACACCGCATATAGGTCAGGTTGGGGATGTCCCAAATGGGAGTACTAGCATGTTAAGGCGCGGGTGAGAGATACAGTCATGAGATATTAAAGGGCATCATTATGGGATGGTGGGGTAGGGTCAGATAAACTATATATCATATTTTCCACAGTATATACATTCAGTTGTATCTGTATATATGCCAAGGTCGCGTAACCAACATGTTATCTCCCAGAGTTACCAGTCCTGTCGCTATTGATAATGCTTGTCGTATATTCCTTTTAACCAAAGTAAACCGCACTGCGTTTTGGTTAGCAATTATGCTTCCAACAGTATCAAACATGGAACCTTTCACCGATGGAATTAAGGTCTGTCACGCAGTGTATGTGATATTCATTATACGTAGCTTCAGTAAAAAGAAGGCTTCATTCATTGTATCCGCTGCCCTAAATGTTTAGATGTACCGGAAAATAAAAAAAGCACGAATCCAGGTCTCTCCGACGCTATCGTTGCGTTATTTCAAAACCTTGGGGTGTATAACACACTTTGTGGTATAATATACCGCTCTACAAGTCATACTATGTGATGACACGCGTATTTTCACAGACCAGCTAAGGTTTAAAGCACAACAGAAGATAGGAGGACTCTAGAATTACTCTACAAGATGAAGAAACAGGAATATTACGTTACCTCATAGCGATGTGATTCGTACCGGGGCCACCATGGCGTATATGACGTCATCGGTCACCCTGTCCGAAAACCACCCCCCATTCCCCCAAGTTTGGCACACATTAGGTCATCTGTTTGGGCGTGTGCGGTTTGAATTCTGTAAAGGAGGCATCCCTCCTATGGGTTTGTTCATTATCTACCAGTAAATAATTCTTGAAAGCCAATACTTAAAATGAGAAAACTCTCCCCTAAGCCTGTTTAAAAGGGATTATTCGTGATAGTGATATCTGATGTAAAGTCATTCCTGAAGGCAAATTGATTGCAAGTGATAAAACATTAACGTATGTTAACAGTGTATAAACATATATGTAACACATGATGCGTAATCTACTATAAGGTTCTACATGTTTTCAACTTCTCTGACAGCAATGGTAAATGTAGTATCTTACGTTTTTTGTTTTTAACAATCTATTATTCTAATAGAAATGTTAACATCTTATCAATGCATTCATATCTGTAAATCCGGTGTAACATATCAGAGTAAAAACGGGTTGTCCTTGTGACAGACAAGTGACCACAGGAATGGTATCCGATATGGTGAGAGACTGTGTGCGATATGGATTGGAGTGACGCCACGTTAAGCAACAGGTGCAGGTGCCTTAAACAACTCACTTACGCCTACTAGCGACCATTGACAAAACGTCAGCTATTTCTAAGTGCTTCTACGTTATCATGAGTACGACCAAAGTTTTAAAATGTGCAAGATATAAAAAGTCAGTTTTGTATGAAATCTATGTATGTACTCGTTAATTTCCTAACACGAAATGACAATCTTGAGAACTGTAAAAGAAGAATGGCCACCACAGCATCTAAGACGACATCGCCTGCATGATCACGTCGTGGTGTAGTTTCCTGGTTTCTGTAAGTAAGAAATACTTTAGTTATGCTTTTTCATTGACACAGTAAAGAGATACCCACTAGAAGAGATGACATACTACTAAAAGAAAACGTATAAAAGGCCCCCAAACAAGACTTTAATTGGAAGAATATCCTTAGGGACTACCATGAAAACATGGTAGAAATGTTGGCTAAAACTGCCTACTATTCGTCCAGTCCCGTCCAGTATAACTATACGATTTAGCACGTAGAGATATATTTCTATTTAACGTGAACTGTAACTGAACTGTTTCATACAGTTATGCAAAGTCTCGTACCCAGTGTTCCCACTCAGTGATGAGATTGTAGAACTCTTCCCCAGGGCAGGTTCTGGCGTCCAGAACTTGGCGATGGCCGTACAGCGTGTAGTTAGCCATCAACTTGTTCCTGTGAGAAACAACGTTTGTTTGTTTGTTTGTTTCTTCTATTTGCACATAATCAAAGAATGTAATAAAATGTACATATACAAAAGAAGAACAATATGTACAATATGCAAATTAGTACTAGGTACACCTTGTGCACGACAAGCTTACAAAAAGAGAAATTTGAAGAGTTAGTCACAAGTTTTTTTACTACTTGTAGATTTGTAAAGTTAGATGTGTATTTACAGTGTAATCACTTACCTCTGAACAGAAAGTTGAATCAGCATTTTCCCTGCAGTTATAGCCTCCTCTGAAGGCAGCGTGTCAGTAAAATTTCCCATGAAACAAATCCCTGTTCAGAAAAAAATAGGTTTTTGTTAAAGATCTTGCGTTTTTACGATGGTGACAGACGTCTGGTTCAGGTCATTGACCTTACTTGTTTGGAGAAGGAGAGGAAATGGAGCAAAAACAATATGTTTTCTTTCGGTAAACATGAAAACTGTTACCGATAGACCGTCCGTTCCAGTCAGGCCCCGCATGTGCCCCCCTGACGTCCCATCCCCGCCCCTCGAACACGTCTCCGTCCCCGCCAACCAGAAAGTTGTAGCCGATGTCGTCCCAACCCCGGCTGTCCATGTGGAAGTCCTGTCCATACAAACCACCGTTATCCACTCTACAATGAGAGTTTTTTTTATTGTGCACACATTAAAGCGATGTTATGTAAAATTTTGACTATTCTAAACAAAGTGGTTTTACACATTTTCTTGTGCTATAAGCCTACCTGGGTTCATAATGACATTTGGGGAGTAAAAGATCAACGTCGTTGCGCCGCAAAAACGAAAACGTGTTAGAAGCGCTTTTAAAGATACCCGGACGAACACCAAGTGACCTTGAGTAGTTTGTGTTCAGTTCGCGTTTTGAACAGGAGAGTTTCTTACCTGTATAAGTCGTACATGCTCCTCACAGTCGGATTTATTAAGGCACCCAAAGTCGTAGCTGTGGTGGATGATGACGTAGGGGACAGGTGACGTCACGTTAGCACGTGACCTCGGTGGCCTCGCACCCCATTCAGCTCGGCTGATGATGGTGATTTCAGAGTCACCTGACAAAAAATCTTCATTGATGATCTTTGTACTTTGTACGAATAATGTCCAGACTATGCTTGATGTACAAAATGACTAAAACTTGTGGACGTACCAACTACCAAGTGCCTAATACCAGACGAGTCGTTCGGTGTAATGTAGCCAGCTGCCGCTGCGCCGCGTGCCTGCGAAGCTGGTGTGTTACGCCGAAGGGCGGTTATACCGGCTGTACAGATACAGATACTCAACCAGTAACAATTATGTACTCGAACAGTAACGAAATTATGTCAACGTTTTGCAAGTAATTCTGTTACCTTCCTTATTTACCTTTACCAACCTGATGGAGCTTACTCAATAAAAGGGAAATTACTTTAGGCATGTATACATAAAACAACATAGCGCTCCATTGACATTTTGTATGCTAATGAATTAATTATTAACCAACGATAGAGCGTCTAAACTGTGTCAGGCCCAAGTTGACCTATTTCTGCCCTTGTCGTCGCCGGTTGTGGACACAGCCCTTACAGTTACACCTGTTTCTCTAAAAATTTAATCTCAGATCATACAATTTTCCTTATTTAACAGAAAAGAACAGACTAGCTTTAGATCAAATGCTAGTATTTGTTGTAAGGGAAACCAAAACGCTATAGCAACTAAAAATGAACTTATCTACACTGAAGACTTTCAGACATTGACTAACAAAGTATAAACACTGATACTCTTGTTTCTAGATCCGCCCCGTCCTTACTATGATACATGTACACTGGATATAAAGCACTTTGTACTTCTGTTCTCCATCCACCAGAAATTAGTTTCTTAAGTATAGCATTGTCGTTATTTCGATAAGTTTGGGAGGGCAGGGGCTCACAAAAGACTTTAAAAAGTATAAAAACTGACACCCGTTTTTAGAACCACCACATCCTTACTATGATACACTGGATATAAAGCAATTCATACTTTTGTTCTTCGTACACTTTCAAAAGTATAACGTTGTTGCTATGTCGATAAGTTAATAGGGGGAGGGGCTCACCATCTGCAGTCGTCGCCACAAAGTAAACAACGAGAACAACGCCCATCACCAGTAAAACAGAGACAACAGCTCCCAGTAGCACGTATCTGGTCATCCGTTTCTTGTGTCTTTCCGCCGTATGCAGCTTTTCGGCCTCCACATCCATGTTGCGTTGAAGTGCTTTGAACTCCTTCTAGTATGTATAAGGACGATGTGAACTGAGCGGCCTGACCGCAATAATGCACTAACAAGTATGCCCATGACAAATATTGACCCAAGATAGGTGTGTCGAGACCTTTGCTCATTACAATTACCAGTGTGACCTGTTTAGGTGAATGAAAAGAAAACATGGTCCAGCACTATGTATCTGTATAATTATTTATCAAGAACAATGTTTAAGGCAGATCAGTGAAAATTAGAGTTACAAGCTCAATGATTGTTCCTCTCCACGGAAATCATGAGTAGAAACAAGTAGTAGAGAGTCAGAAGAAGGGTTGCAGAGCCCAGTGTGCACCGGTAGAGGTCGCGGTTTTGCTGGTCAGTCTTTGTCTGGATCGCTAAAACTCTTAGAAGTAAGAGGCCCACAGCTCAGGTCAGCAATCAGGAACATTCTTGAGGCGGCAGAGAGAGTCTCAAGATGGCTGTGGTTCCGTCGGGGGAAACAAGCTACTTGGACACAAGTCGGGGACTGATCACCCCGGCTGGGTCGCCTGGAGGAGGGTGACCCAAAACACCCAATGATTCCAGGTACATCACTGACGATGTGTCCTTGTTTGTACTCACAAGTGTATTCTATCAATGAAGATTTCTATGTGTGTGCTGAAAGGAAATCAGAGTACAGTCGTCGGATCGCATTTTAACCTCTACTTTACGATAACATACATACAATACAAGCATACCTGTCCTTGGTGCTGAACGCCATCCACATACATACATACAATACAATTATGCCTGTCCTTGGTGCTGAACGCCATCCACATACATACAATACAAGCATGCCTGTCCTTGGTGCTGAACGCCATCCACATACATACTATACAAGCATACGTGGTGAACGCCATCCACATACGTACAATACAATCATGCCTGTCCTTGGTGCTGAACGCCTTCCACATACGCGTACCTACAAACAACCACCCTCATACCATACAGAAAATAAGCATTATGGAAACTTCTCTCCTCAGTAAGAAATAAACATGACATTTGGCGGCCTAGGATGGACATACAGTGACTTTTATGCTCACAGTGATTGTACCAACGTGCGTTTTGAACGCTACATAAACGAATCAGGGTAGTGGGACGAGCCATTAATTAAGAAAGTTAATTTTGAGGATCGACACTTGCTGTGGCAGACTTAATGTTGATAGCTCGTGGTCTTACACAGAAAACAAGTCCGAAATGTTGGTTGGAGAAACTTATTTTGAATGGTTCTTTGCCTGCTGGATGAAATAGTTACAGTATTATGATCAAGTTTGCATCCCCATGTAATCACACATGGTATGGTCTGTTCGACCAGGTGCATTGCAGCTGTGTGACGCACGTTGTCGTGCGGCGTGTTTTTGTGTGGGCTTTCTCCCCAACTTTTGGGGCAAATTTTCCGCTTTTTGTCAGCAAACTATCCATCCTACGTTGAATTTTACCCGTAGGAACGTTTCGAGAGTGAATTTATGCCGTTTTCTGGATGTTTGAGCGTGAAAATGAGCATTTGGTGACAGGGCGAATTCGGACAAGAAAATGGCGACTGACATGTCATGGCGTGGTGTTGGAACTCTCCTTCTTATGAGGTAAGACAACAGCTACTAAGTATCTCCCTGAATGCACATGTACATTGTATTTCCAACTAACCTGTGCCTTGTTTGTTCCGAGGTTAATTGCAAATTTTACGGTATTTTGTTGAATATTTGATGGAAATTTTCCGGCCTCCGAGTGTAGAAAAATATCACCTTCCTTCGGCACCCCGTCGAGTTTCTCAACACGTGGTTTTCGGTTTCGCCGCAGTCTTTCTTTTCGCTTGACCAATTTGCCAAGTACAATTTCCTCTTCGTGGTTGTCTCTGTACAATCAGCAAGCTTTTGTTTAGTTGTTGATGTTTGAAATGGCACTGTTGATAAAAGTTGCAATTGTATAACTTGACTGCAGCGCTACTTGATTGGAATAAAACAAACGCTACAGGACATGACTCGTGTTGACCAGTTTTCTGAAATACTTTATTCTCGTAAGATATCCATGTGAATTTTTACAAAAATACTTATATAGAATATACATACAGATTTTTCGGAAAATACTTATAATTTTATTATACAAAATACAGGCAGCCGACCAAAGGTCGGAACGCCGGCAGGCAGCCGCCCGCGAATCGGTTGGGCCGCCGACAGGCAGCCGCCCGCAAATTGGTTGGGCCGCCGCCGGGCAGTGCGCCACGGTCCTGTCGGCTACCCACTGGGCAGTAGGCCGCTGGCGGGCCGGGTACCGACAGAAACAAGGAGGAGAGGGACGAGAGAAGGAATAGAAGGGGAGGGAGGGAGAGAGAGAGAAGGGGAAGACGGGGAACAACTGACTCTAAACTGGTTATGCTTTGCATAGATTATAGATAGTTTGACTATGTGTTGATGTTGAAGTGGGAAAATTTTCTGTCAGTGCTGCTTTTTCTGATGCCTTCTCTCATCATTGCAGACAGCTGTCCAACATGGCATCATTGCCAACTCCGGCCTCCTGTCCTCTTGTCCAGGACAAGTGATTCAGAGAAGAGTGAAGAGCTTCTTGTCAAGAAGTTCCTGTACAGATACATGTTCTAGATACATGTAGTTTTGGTTGTCAAGTTGATTCTCTAAAAGTATGAAGAAATCATGTAAAGATGGCTACAATTAAGTTCAATCTCTGCCTAGATTCCGTGCTTGACATGTAGATTTGTGAATCTGGTAACATGTTTTAAGAGGATTGTACAAATTTATGTACAGGATGGCTTCAAGTGCCTGGAACAAGATGAAGTTCTTATGATGTATTGATGTATAGAATGCTTGTAAATGATGTACTATATAGAAGCTGTGTGTTAGTATTTTTTCTACTGTTAGTTTATGTTTGATATATTCCCTGTGTGTGTATATGTCAGAATGGACCACAGGAAGAATAGCTATAGTTCGTACACTAATTGTGGATGACCTAATAAAGTCAAGGAGGGGGTGATATTCTTTGAATTTTTACTGCTTTTTCTTACACCTTCTCTTGTCTTGTTGCAGGCAGCTGTCCCGCATAGCTTCATTGCCGACTACGGCCTCCTGTCCAGGCATGAGCAGAGTTTATTCCTGGGCAGCTAAGTTATGTACTGATTATATCTTCTTGTGATGTTTGCTTGTCAAAGTTGATTGTTGGCCAAAAGTCTGTTGTTTAAGATACTTTTATACTGTCAGCATCTTACCTTCCATTTAATGCTCTTGTGTGTAGATATGTGAACCTGCTTAAAGCAACATACAATTAGTAATGTTGTTTTTTTTATATTTTTCTCCAATAACTGTTCGTCAGTAAGAACATTTTGTAGGAAACATTGTGTTTTTTACAATTTTAGCAGACTGGTAAGATGTCCAGTTCTTTCATGCAGAATTCACAGTCTGTATCTGAACTAACGAACAAATCTTGGCATTGCACCCTCGTTCCTCCCCTAACATATATTCTACATGAAAGAACAGACTTACACATGGTGAAATGTATTAAATTTTGAATAATACTGGCTTTGTTTGGATGATCAGTTTCAATGCGGGTATTTTTTTGTTTTGGATAGATAGGAAAAAGTGTTCATGTAAGGATTACATTATCTGATTGTTGTTCTTCAAAGTTGATCGCAGTTAGCCGTAATGCTTGTTTGGTAGTTGATTGTGGTGTACTGTGGCACTAAATTGCTAATGGCTTGTGCAAAAGAGTGGAAGATTGATTTTCGTTGAAATTTTTTCACAATGACAGAATAAGAAGTCCAAATTGCATGCCGTGTTTGTGCCTGGTAGACATTTTTCTCTTGATGCCATTCCTTATATCTGATGTCTTTTTGTTGCAGACAATTGACTCCAGCCTGCTGTCCAGACCAGGTGATGCGGAGAAGAGTGGAGAGTTTGTTGCAAGGAAGATTCATTGAGTTTAAAGGGTAAGTTGTTCCCACTGTACCTTTCCTTGGTGCTGAACTCCTGGTTATACTAACGAATGTCCTTGTTTTTTTTTAAAGTCAGGAACCATGTGGGAAATTAAATTTGTGCAGCCCATCCAAAGTTGGTAAAATTTGTGTAATGTGTCATTTCCTGATCCAGCTGCTATGTGTGTGTGTTGGGGGGGGGAGTCCGTGACATCCACTAGGATTATGGTGTTCTGAAATCATACATGTACTAGAGATCTTTCATTGTTATACTTAGGACAAATTTTATATCAGTGCTGCTATTTCTTATACCTTATCTGGATTGTCTTGTTGCAGGCAGCTGTCCAACATGGCATTGCAACTGACTCCAGCCTCCTGTCCAGACATGAGCAGATGAGAGTTTATTCCTGGGCAGCTAAGTTATGTACTGTTTATATCTTCTTGTGATGTTTGCTTTTCAAAGTTGATTGTATGGCCAAAAGTCTGTTGTTTAAGATACTTTTAATTACTGTCAGCATTTTACCTTCCATTTAATGCTCTTGTGTGTAGATTTGTGAACCTGCTCAAAGCAACATACACTTAGTAATGTTGTTTTTGATATATTTTTCTCCAAAAACTGTTCGTTAGTTATTTGAGACTATTAGTCAAACATTTTGTAGGAAACATTGTTTTTTAGCAGACTGGTAAGATGTCCAGTTCTTTCATGCAGAATTCACAGTCTGTATCTGAACTAACTAACAAATGTTGGCATTGAACCCTCGTTCCTTCTCTAACACACATACTACATGAAAGAACAGACTCTTGTGTGGTGAAATGTATTAAATTTTTAATAATACTGGATTCGTTTGGATTATCAGTTTCAATGAGGGACTTTGTCGTTGGTCGTTTTGGATAGATAGGAAGACGTGTTCAACTTGTAAGTTGTTCATGTAAGGATTACATCTTCTGATTGTTGTTCGAGTGACGACCGTAATGCTTGTTTGATATTTTTGATTGTGCACTGTGGTGCTAAATTGCTAAGGCCACACCGCCTTAATTTTATGGATGACATCCGCGCGCGCATTGATTTTCGCCTGTTCTCAAAAAAACAAAAAAAAGATCACGTCCATCGACTCTGGCCTCTGGCTCTGGCCAGGCTCTAGGCCTGGGTAGTACATTGTAGTTAGCGACAATACGGAGCCAGGCACCCAGGCTACCGAATTGAGACCTCAGTACATACGTACAGTGCCGATTCATACATTCCGCAAAAAGCCAGCAGGTGCCGGCTTGACGTATACGTCGCTAAGTACTGCCACAAATTCACAATACCTGCTTTGTATTCTTGTGGTTTTAGTAACATTTTTATTTTTGGCCGGAATTTTTTTATTCGCCCGCGCGCACTAGTCTGGGGGTCTTCAGAGGATGTCATCCATAAAATTAAGACGGTGTGGCCTAATGGCTTGTGTAAAAGAGTGGAAGATTGATTTTCGTTGAAATTTTTTCACAATGACAGAATAAGAAGTCCAAATTGCATGCTGTGTTTGTGCCTGGTAGACATTTTTATCTTGATGCCTTTTCTTATACCTTCTGTCTTTTTGTTGCAGACAGCTGTTGAACATGGCATAGCTGCGTGTTCTGACTCCAGCCTCCTGTCCAGACCAGGTGATGCGCAGAAGACATTCATTGAGTTTAAAAGGTAAGTTGTTCATTGTACAGATAACAATGGGTTCGTGTGGCACAATGGCAGCATGCGCGACTCGGAATCAACAGGTCCCGGGTTCGAGTCCTGACATGCCACCGATCTTGTGCCCTAGGGAAAGGCACTTTACATGACTTTTCACACTAGACTCAAGTGAAAATTAGTATTGTCTGTGCTGTATTCGTTTCTATGTGCGAGACACAATACCAGCAACAGCTGCCTCTGTTTCCGCGTGTATTGCACTGTTGCAATTTTTTTTTTAAATCAAACAACTTGTTCTTAACCTGTAATTTGCTTTTCAAAGTATGTAGGCCGAATTCTGTTGTTGAAGATGTCTAAAAGCACCTTAAATGTGCTTCTTACCTCTGGCTTAACGATTGGTTTATGGAGTTGAGAATTTGAGTGCTTAGAGCACATTTCAAGCTGCCTCACGATCATACATTTCACCCTGATACTGGACATAAATGCACACTCTGTGTTACTAGTGGCAAACGCTGTGAGACCTTTAAGTTGTACCTTTAAGTGTAAACTTAGTAAATATGGTACGCTAGTCAGTCTGTCCTAACTTGGTACGATTTTGTAGTCTTGCTGTCTTCAGAAGTTGGTGAATTTCAGCTTTCTTTTATTCGGTAAAAATGTGATTGTGTGTATTTTTGGTCTGACGTGAGGAGTTCTGTATTGAAGACAGTCCAGTCAATGTATCTTGAGTCAGATGTTCTTATGTATGTGGGACTTGAGTGACTTATTAGCAAATGTCGTATGTTTCTGGGCATGAGTTGCTGCTATGATGAAATACAATATTCTTGGTGAAATTGTGTTTTTCGACCAAGCGTTAATGATTAATAGATGTATGGAACTTTAATTTGCATGCAAATAACATTTCTATGCAATGACTGTTTATTGACTAGCAAATTCAGTGGCAACAAACATGGTGTAGTTATAATGCATGATAAGATCAGTAAAGAATGCATGCAAATTTATGGCACACCCCTGTTAGTTGAAAACCCTCCAGCTTAGTTCTGTACATTTTGTTGAAAGCACAGACGGTGTCTGCAGCACATTTTGCAGTAGACATACTTCAGCTGATACATCTGTTAAGTTAATGTGAAGCAAACTTTACTATGATGGCAGATATAATTGTTTGTCTTTGTATATTTCTGTTTAGTAATTGTTGTTGTTCTTCCAGGCACAGTGAAGATCGGAGGCACTCCTGGACTGGCAGGATTGACTGCAGAAGTCAGCGACAAACAACAGGAAGCTTGTATTTAAAATAATGGCGTAGACACTGACAGGGTATATTGAGTTGAAAGTAGGAATAGTCTGACTTAATGTTGACTTTGTGAAGGTTTTGTTTATGGGAAATTTTGTTGTAATGTTGGATGATTGTTAAACCGATAGTCACTGTTTCTCGTATACCTCATAATGTTTGTATGACACCTAAATGATTAGTATTTGATTAGTATATTGCTCGCATGGTTGTGTGAAAAATTATACTGACAGTCTGTATAACCATTGTATCATTTTGTGACATGTCATTGCGCTTGTTTTTTGTAGACAATTGATAGTATTGACTATTGTGTAACTGGATGTATTACTGTTCTATACTGATGTAGATATTGCACGCTGAAACTGTATGTATCTGATGTATTGTATTGCTCATGTTTTATGAATGCATCTGAAGTGAAGAAAAAGAAAGAAAAGTCAATAGACTAGGCTGGTACAGAATAAGTTATCTGTTCACAGGAGTAGGTATAAGTGAAGAAGCCATTTTGTCCTGTTATATGAAAGTACATTTTCAAAAAAGGAAGTTGAAAGAAGAATTTTGGACATTCCTGTGAACACTACTTAGTACCAGCGTAGTTCATGTTGAAGTTTGTGTGTGTTTCTTTATTCAACTTCTCTAAACTTTAGAGTCAATTTCACATTCCTATGTCCTAAGGGATTTTGAATGTTGAGAAGTTTATCCGGCTATTGAAAAGTTGACTAGTTTTGTGGAATTGACTTTTATTTGAAGTCTTTACTTTCTATTTACTGCCTCTTATTTCTCAGTGTGCACTTAGAGTTAGAATGAAAGCATAAATGGACTAGGCTGGTACAACGTTGCTGTTTACTAGGAATGGGTAGAAG